CCTGAACCATGAAGAATGTCAAGAAATGAAGGGAAAAAGCCTAGAGGAGGCAGGAAGGATAGACCCTGCCCCCTTTTCTTTTTTTTTTTTTTTTTTAATTATTTATTTATTACATTTATTTATTGTGTGTGTGTGTGGCCAGCTCAGCCCACCAGGGGGCGGGGCTGGCTGGCATGTGGCGCTGGGGGATCGAACCGCGGTCTCTGTGCTTTGCTTAGCTTGCTCCAAGTAGGTGCTTTAGACCACTGAGCCATCTCTCCAGCCCCTTAAAATAATTTCTGAAGGATCTTTTCCATATCTAATCAATACCAGTGCTAGTTTTTGCTGTATGATTAAATTTTTGGTTTTGCCAAGAGAGTTAAACAGTCTGTTGTAAAGATAGCTTCATTTATAGGAATGATTCTTAGAAATGTTGATTTAAGGGCTGGCAAGATAGCTCAGCAGTCCAAGCACCTGTTTGTCAAGATCAGGGACCCAGGTTCAATTCCTGGCACCGCATGTCTTGCCGGCCTTGCCTAGGATACACCAAGTTGGCCCCAGAAACTGGGCATGGTGGTGCATGCCTATCCTAGTGCTGAGGAGGCTGAAAACAGGAGGATTACTATGACTCTGAGCTGCATAGTAAGATCCTGTACCAAATACATAAAAAAAAAATTTTTTGAAGTTTAAAAAATAGGGGCTGGGGGGGCTGGTGAGATGGCTCAGTGGTCTAAAGCACCTACTTAGAACAAGCTTAGCAAAGCACAGGGACCGCGGTTCAATCCCCCAGCACCACATGCCAGCCAGCCCCGCCCCCTGGTGGGCTGAGCTGGCCACACACACACACACACACACACACACACACACACACACAAATAAATAAAAATAAATTTAAAAAAAAAATAAAAAAATAAAAATAAAAAATAGGGGCTGGGGAGATAGCTCAGTAGAATAAGAGCTTGCCTGGCAAGCTCAAGGGCCTGAGTTCAATCCCCGGTTTCTTCCCCCCCTTCCCCCCCCCAAAAAAAATTAAAAAATAAATGTTGATTTATAAGAAGCTAGTGTTGTCAGAAGAAAAGTATTTCTACGTGCATGGTTAACTGGGCTGTGTGTTCATTTCAGTTTTATTTTGAGTAAACCTGGACCTAATTCGTACTTGGGATTCACTGCTGCATTCACCATAGTGGTCTAGAAGGATAGGGTGCTTGCTTTTAAATGTCCCATTTTTGCCACTGCTCTGCAGAGTTTTAGAAATAAGTAGGACCTCAGAAGGAGGGTCTGTAGACAAATAACACAGCTGCACACTTTATTCTGGATCTGCCAAGTGAGCTTAACATGATTTGGACTAAAATTTTATTGTGTTCAAAATTGTAATGTTTACTTTTTCTGAAATTTGAGGTGCAACATGCATAAATGTGAAGCTTTAAAATAAAAATGCAGATGGGAGCTTCTCTGGAAAGACTTGTGAAGATCAGAGTACATTCTAAAGTGGCCAGGGCCCTCACAGAGCCGCACTTGCAGTGCATTCCTTGCCTTCCTGCTTGCTCATTTTTATTCCTGTCTGATGCCTATGCAGTTTATATTTATGGTATCCACTTGAATTCTCCATGTCCTCCTAGAGGTTGAGAGAGAGAGAGAGAGAGAGAGAGAGAGAGAGAGAGAGAGAGAATTTTAAAGAAATAATCCTTTTTAAAACAGTTGATGTTGAGTGGCTAGGGAAGAAAATTGGAAATAACAGGAAGGATGGGTAAAAAGGAATTTAGTTAATATGAATTATTCTATAAACTTACCAGTCTTATACATCATATTGAGTTTTGTGTTGATTTTGATCTTTGAGACATGATAGTCTGTTGCCTGCAGTCTGTCCTGGAATATTAGAACACCATGTTTAAGAATGTTTATTTAAATTTATGAAATAAAATGAGTGATTCTTAATGGTTGTATAGTTTTATTTTGATTTTTAAAAAAAGTAAGCTAGTGCTCGCTTTGGCAGCACATATACTAAAAGTGGAATGATACAGAAAAAATTAGCATGGCCCCTCTGCAAGGATGACACACAAATTCATGAAGCAGTCCATATTTTTCTGCATCAATAAAGCTCTTGGTGGGGCCAGGGAGATTGTTCAGTGGAATAAGCACTTCCCTGGCAAGCACAAGCGCTTGAGTTCAATCCCCAGTTCTGCCAAATAAATTAAATAAATAAATAAAGCTCTTGGCTTATTATATGTCTTTTTAAAAAAAAAAAAAGCTAAGCCAAGTTTGGTGGCACAAACCTAGCACGGGGTGGGGGTGGGGGGTGGGGGTTGAGGCAGAAAGATCGCCACAAGTTCAAGGCCACTCTTGGCTACATAGAGAGTTAAAGACCAGTCTGGACTACATAGCAAGACTGTGTCTCAGAAAAAAAAAAAAACAGTAAATTAGTATGTGTAATACCAGGCCTTCGATGTCCTTATAATGTTTTGCTTCTCTCTGGGCTTGCAGACATTCCTGCTGTAACATTTTCTTCCCCCTCCAATAGGAAAGAACCTACGGGAGGTGAGCAAGGACTACCAACAAGTGCTGCTGGACGTCAGGCGGTCATTACGGCGCTTTCCCCCTGGTGAGAGCTCTGACTTTGCTACATTGGAAGGAGCCTTTCTGTCCCCATGCACTTCCCTCCGTGTGTGAGTGCTTGCCAGTCAACTGGGAAAGAGACATGTTCATGATCTGCTTTGCTTCTCTGGCAATTCCACCTGAGGTCTGTGAAGAGGAGACGCACTAACGGGAGCCTCTAACCCTCTGAGCTCATGCATCTGAAACCAAGCCTGGCCTGAATTTGTCTGTTACAGACCTTCTTTCCTGTTTGTATGCTTGCTTCCTGGAGTGGTGCTTGTGCCGCTTCTATTACTGTAGCTAGTAGCCTGCTAACTTCATTTATAATTTAAAAAAAAATTTCAAACAGGGTTTTGCTATGCGGTACAGGCCTTCAACTTGATATGTTGTCTAGGCTAGCCTTTAACTCAAAATCCTCCTGCCTCAGTCTTCTGAGTGCTGGAATTAGAGATGTGCGCCACTGCTTCTGTTTTCATTTTGTTTTGGATAAAACATGCCATGGCTGAGTCTCCCTTTTGTTCCTGCTCTTTTGGACAAAACCACACAGGAAAGATGCCTTCCCCTTTCCACCTGTTTTCCCTCTAAACCACTTCCATTTATGTTGTATCAGTCTGGAGTGTTCTTCCTGCAGAGTGAACTCTCCTTGTGGTTTCATATTTTTTTCATTCATGTTCTTCAGTTTCCCTGACCACTCTTATTGGAAAATCAGTGTTTGATTTTTACTCCTACTGTTTTTATTACTTTACTTACCCATGGTTCTTAGTTTACTTCATTTTATCTTCTCCAGTATGCATTGTTGGAGAAAAGTGGGGTGATTATGGCAAGAAAGGCCCTGCTGTAAACCTGAGCCTTTGTCAGTGTAATCTTCGGCCCTTGCCTCAGCTTTGCTCTCTGTACTTGTGAAAGCTCAGCTCACACTGTGAGGAAACTGATCTCCATGCTGCTTTTTTTTCAGATAAGGTCTCACTGTACATTTCTTTTTTTAAAAAAAAAAACAACATTTATTTAGTGTGTGTGTGTGTGTGTGTGTGTGTGTGCCCAGCTCAGCCCACCAGGGGGCGAGGCTGGCTGGCATGTGGTGCTGGGGGATCAAACCGTGGTCCCTCTGCTTTGCCAAGCTTGTTCCAAGTAGGTGCTTTAGACCACTGAGCCATCTCACCAGCCCCTCACTGTACATTTCTGACTGGCCTTGAGCTCACAGTGATCTGCCTTAGCCTCCTGATTTCTGGGATTATAAGCATGCACCACCATGCCTGGCTACATGCCATTCAAAAGCAGTGTGAAAGGCAAGGTTTGGCTTTTTTTTGCTTTCCCTCTCTCGTTAACCATGAATGATACTTTAGTCATTTTTATTTACAACTCAGACTCTGGAGATGCAGAATTTTAATAACCCTTGCCCATGAGCTTCGTGGGTACTGCTCTGCCATGCTGCATCCCCAGGAATCTTGAGTAGGCTGCCCGTGGTCTCACATGGAGTCTCTTGCCGACAGTGTCACTGGGGAAGATCAAGTCCTCAGAGCTTGTGGGATGCACAGCTGTCAGCACACAGCTCCCTGGATACTTTGCTTGTTTTTTATTTGGTGTTTTTGAGTTGGCTTAGGCAAAACTCTTTTGAGCAATAAAAAACACATGCTTTCCCCCTGAACTTTATTTGCAGTTCACCTACTAGCCATAACAAGATATTCTGAGATTTTAACCAAGGAAGTGGAACAAAGATCAGGATAGCTTTCCAGCCCCTTGCTTCAGTTTCCATGGCTGCTGCAGTGTTCAACTCCCTTAGCTGAGTGCAGGTCTAGCTCTTCTGTAGCTGCAGAAGACCTGTGAAAGGCCAAACTTAAACTCAACAGCTGTGCACCATCACTCACAGAGGAGCAGGCTTATACATACTCTCGCACTGAAGAGGAGAACCGCGCTGAGCAGGCTGTTTCCACTGTACCTGCTGTTTGCGGAGAACAGTGCTTCCTAGGCTATTTGGTTTGGTTTAGAGGGAAACATGCAAACTTTTTCATTTTTAAATTATAATACCATTCCAAAAGTTTCAGAAATAAGACAAAGAATTCCCCAGATAGCTTTTGCCTAGATTTCCTTATTCACATTTATCACGTGTTTTATTAGCTATTGGCTCTTCCTTCTCCATACAGATAAATAAAACTTTTTGTGAGCCACTTAAAATTGTAAACACATTGCCCCTTAGCGAAAATATTCCAAGATACAGTTTTTAAAAATAATTTTAAAATAATAATTTAAAAATAGTAGGGGGGCCTGGCCCTAGCTCAGTCCTTTAAGTGGCTGCTTCCACAAAGCTGGCAGCCTCAGGTTGCTGGAGTTCGAACCTCACAACTCTCCCGCTGGCCAAAAGTGCCCTGAAGGCATTCGAGGAACAAAAAAAAAAACAACAAATAAAAATAGTAGGGCCAGGGAGATGGCTCAGTGGAATAAGCGCTTCCCTGGCAAGCACAAGGGCCTGAGTTCAATCCCCGGTTCTGCCAAAAAAAAAAAAAAAAAAAATAAGTTACCAAAATCAGTGACAGTGTTGAAAAGTACCGTTTTATTTATTTATTTTCTTTCTTTTTGGATGGTCTTCTTGAGACAAGGTCCTAATATCCAGTTCAGGCCAGCCTTGAGCTCACTGTGTAGCTCAAGCTGGCCTCAAATTCAGGGTGATCCACCTACATCAGCCTCCCAAGTGCTGGCATCACAGCCCTGTGCCACCACACCTGAGCACTATCTCTTTTTAATGCATACAAAAATATTATATTTTCCATAAATATGTTTATAAAAAGGGTCTCAATCCTATCCCAACCCATTATTTCCTATCCCTGTTCTTTTTTCTAAAGAAAACAATGCTGGGGCTAGGGAGATACTCAGTAGAATAAGCACTTGCCTGGCAAGCGCAAGGTCCTAAGTTCAATCCCCAGTACTGGAAAAACAAAGAAAAGAAAACAATGCTGCTGCCCTTACCTGTATCAGTAAACAGGATAGGCCTGCCAGACTTTTGTCACTCTAGCTGGAAATAAAGGCTGCACCTGGAGCCAGTCTTGGGGTTCTGAGAAGACCCCGCTAGGTGAGAGGCAGCAACTGAAAGGCAAACAAATGAAGCAGGCACCTGCAGTGGTCATCATATTAGCAGAAATAAGATGCCTCAGCCAGACACTTACAGAAGGTGGGTGAGAGGGACAGGAGTCCCACAAAACTTCATGTCTGGGTCCTCATCAAAAGACTGCAGGTAGGGCTGGCCAGGTAGTTCAGTGGACTAAAGTGCCTGCTTATGTATGTAGGCACAGGGACCGAGGTTCAATCCCTGGGTTCTGTGTCGGCCCTGCCCCCAAGGCATGCTGAACCGGTGATTGAGACTGGGCTTGGTGGTGCATGCCTGTAATCAGCTTGGGAGGCTGAAATCAGGAGGGTACTTTGAGTCTGTCTGTGTAGTGAGACCCTATAAACCATATACTAAATACATTAAATAAAACAAATTCTCATTTTAAAAGACTGCGGGTCCAAGGACAGAATATGTCTGTCTGGGTGTCAGACGCACACTAGCATAAGGTAAACAAGAATTAGGGCAAGGCCAGGAGCTAGAAGGGGCCCTTCAGGGGTCCTGGACTAGTAACAGTCCCCCCATGTTCTCCGATGGTAGTGATGCTCCCAAGACCCTGGCAAGGAGCACTCAGATGGAGCTGGCCTGTGTGTGCTGGTCTCCACACACTCAGTGCCTGCTCAGTAGGATGCCAGACAGATGTGCTAGAGCTTTCTGAGCAAGCTGGCTTTACATTGACCTTGAGGAAGCCATTGGTCACCAGTCCTCACTGCAGGGGTAGAAGTCATTCTCATGCTGGTCTCGTGCAGCCTCTGCTCTATATGCCTAGTGCTCAAAGGCAAGGTGTTCCGGACCAAGTTAAATGGTGCAGATACTTGAGGTTCCCCAGTTTATAGCAGAAGGGGCTGTGCCTGTGGGCAACCATAGGCATGTCGTGCAAACTTGCAGCCACACGCCTGGCTCTGTGCTTATGTGGAACTCCACCCAGCCCTTGGCATAGTCCTTGCTGTACTTCGATCTCTTTGTTCCTCTGGAGGCTGCTGCTGCCTTCTTGTGTCTCACAAACCTGTCCTGAGAGAAACGTGAAAGTCTGAAAGAACATACTTCTGACCTCAAGCACTGAGGAGGCTGCATACATGTAGGGGTCAGAAGTGCTGTGAGGTATGACCCAGGTACACAATACCTGGCACCGCCTGCTTCTTGTTGCCTGGAGCCTCTTCTTTGGGTTCCTCCTGCTCTTTTGCTTCTGGTTTCTGTCCCTGCCAGCTATCATGCTCCATTAACTATCTCAGAACCCCTGGCCAATATACTGGTCAGTACATGGAGCATGACAGGCTGTTAAGCAGCTGTAGCAGGTGACATTTTGTGCCAAAAGTACCATTATTTAACCCACAGATTTTATTGAGGTTTCACCATTTATCCTAGTAATGTGCGTCACTGAAAAAAAAAAAATAATAAGCTAGGCATGGTAGCAGAAACCTATAATTCTGATACTCAGAAGACAGACTTTTCTTTTCTTTTTTTTTCAGAACCGAGGATTAAACTCAGGCCCTTGTGCTTGCCAGGCAAGCGTTTATTGTACTGAGCCATCTCCCCAACCCCTTTATGTTTTCTGACAAGCCATCTAGCTGTGTTAAATTTCCCATACTTTGGGTTGATCTGGTGTTACATCATTAAGAGATTTGGGTTTATACACTTTTTTTTTTATGAGCAGAATATATTTATTGAGAGAAAGAAAGCTGTCCGAGAGAGGGACAGGAGGGGGGCCCGAGCGGGTTGTCCCCTGGGAAGCTGTTTCTTTTTTCTTTTCTTTTCTTTTTTTTCTTCTTTTTTTTTTTTTTTTTTTTTTTTTTTTTTTGGTGGGGGGAAGCTGTTTCTTCCAGGAACTTTATAGTGTAAAACCATGTGGGGCTAAGGTAGAGAAAGGGGAAACTTGCTTAGGTGGGTGTGGGGTGGGACAAAACTATGGT